CCCCAAAACCCCAAAACCCCAAAACCCCAAAACCCCAAAACCCCGTTTAAATGAATTAAGATTGAACTATAACAGGACTGACCCTGATCTTACATATCTTTCCTATAATTTACATAGAAAAGGCGCTTATGTTCTTATTCCTCTTAGAAATGTTGTACTTCAAGATATTCAAATCTAATCACTCTAAACCAAATTAATCCCTAGACCAAAAAGTGTTTACCTGACACAGGAGGTAATTTCATTGGGCCCTGAATGTCCTTTCTAAGTTGATTCATCGCATACTTTTGGCTAACCAGTGCATTCTTGAGAGGCCGAGAGGTCAGGAAATCCTTCCCTCCTGACTTCTTAGCCTTATCACTTAGGGCAAATTTAGAATTCTTCTGGCTTCTTATCAACTTATGAGGCAAGAAGTTGTACCTTCAGCGTACAGACACTGGGGAAAGCGGGGCGAAGTTTCTAGAAGTATCTGCCTTTAAGTGCTTATTTGCTAGGTTTTGGCAGAAGACATTTGTGTGGTCAGATTTGTTTCTTATTTTATAGAGCTATATTTATAAGAGCCACCCGTACACTGCAATTCTTCCTTTGGAGATCGGTGGGAGCTTATTGGGACTGGATGCCTAGAGATTTTTGTAGTTTTTGAGGAAGGAAGTAGAGATAGCAAAGACAGGAGTTGTATCTCTTTGTGGTGTTTGATATGTAAATTAATTATTTATTTTCTTGGTACCTTGAAATCTCAAGACAAATTTTGTTGCCTCTGGTTAGATTGGGTTTTATCTCTATGAGTTGGAGGCTTTAATTTGCGGTTATTTGATAAAAATTCTTGCAAGTCTTTATTGATCATCTCCTACAAGAGTAGTATTTATTAGTAGGTATGCTATTCTAGTAATCTCAGGAATTATTTTGAAAAATCAATTACTTACTTTTGTTTTGATGTTTCGAGGATTTTTTAACTCAATTTTTATATTTAGATACTTTGAAGTGGGCAAATTCTCTTGAGGAATCAAGGTTGTTTTGCTATTAATTGAGATATTATTAGGTAATAGTGATCGCTCAGAACTTCTTATCTGACTTAAGTTCATTCTGATTAAAATTGTATCTTATGAATGTAGGGTATCTATATCCTAAGTTAGTAATTCTTTCTATCAAGCGTATATTTCTTCAATCTCTACTCTAAGAACCCATAACCAGCATCTTCTGACATTTTCTATTTTTATAATCCCCAAAGGGGTTTTGGGGTTTTGGGGTTTTGGGG